TGGGGATCCCCGCAAAGAGTAGCGGAGCGACATGTTTTAAGCAGAAAAGAGGCGCGCGGGGCTGGGGGAGGCGGGCGCGAATCTGCGGCCGCTCTTTTCGGAGGTTCGAAATTGAACCCCGGCAGGGGCCGGCGCGTCGCGGGGCTCTCCGAATGGTTTGGGGTTGGTTTTACGCCCCTTTCTCGAGGAAAAATTTGATGCTGTAATTTCCTACAAACTCGAGGGAGTGACTTATATCCGCGGTGATGTTTGCTTTGGTAACTAACCGCTAAACGCGTGGAGAAGAAATATTTTCAATTAAACTGTAAATTGTATACAGATATTGATAATGAAGAAGCTGAGAACGTTTCGATTAGATCCGTGACATCACCTAACGTTGGCCTGGGAAACAATCACAGCCGTTCACTTCGGCCTCGAAATGCTCTCGATAATTTTGTTTTATTTTATCCTAAACGTTTCCCGAGATCATGAAGTAGGCTTCGGGTCTATTTTTTCTTCTTTCGCAGGTACACCTTTCCTTATCCACCCCTCGCTATAAGAAATGGAGACAGTGTTAACGTTAACACCACAACAATTCAGAGAGCTGTGGAAGCGTTCAGGGGTGGGGGGGGTGGCTGGAGAGGTAGGAACTGTGCGGGACCCGCGCGTATTTTTTAGCGCAAAATGAGGTATGGAGGAGCTTCGTGCACCCGGGGAAAACGAACGGAGGTGAGTAACGGATGGCTTTCGGAGACGTGGTTCCATGGCTCTTCAATTCTCAAATGAATTCTTACAAATGTCTCTGTGTGTGTGTGTGTGTGTTAATTGCAGGAAATAAATAAACCCGCTGTGGAAATTCTGAATTTACAGGGGGAAAAGCTCATGGTGCTCGCTTCCAGGGCCGAACACGCAACATGCTTAGCAGAGAGCCGTCGTGATTTTAAAAGTTTTCCTGCCAGCCTGCCCGGCGTCTGGGGCCGGTTTTCGCTCGCCGACCCCCCCCCCCACACGGCCGGTCCCGGACAGCAGCCCCCCCGCCGGGCTCCCGGCACGGTCCCCTGTGGGCACCCCACGGGGGAACGCGACGTACCGCGGTGTG